ACCAACTTTTCCCGCTTCAAGAATGTATGTCTTCAGCAGCTTCCCTGGTGGCGCAGTGGTTGAGAGCCCGCCTGCCGATGCAGGGGACGTGGGTTCGTACCCCAGTCTGGGAGGGTCCCACATGCCACGGAGCGGCTGGGCCCGTGAGCCATGGCCGCTGAGCCTCCGCGTCCGCAACGGGAGAAGCCACAACAGTGAGAGGCCCCCGTACCGCAAAAAAAAAAAAAGAATGTATGTCTTCAGTATTCTTCAATTTTTTTTAATGACTGCCTGACACGTTACCATATATGGCTGTATCATAATTTAACAGGTCTCTCCTTAACAGTCTTAAAAAATACTTGGGTTAATGGTTTGGGGTTGGGTTGGGTTGGGGTTTTGTCTTTGTTTTTTTCTTACCATAATACTGGAATAAATCTTTGTACAAAAATCTTTGTTCATTCCAGATACATTAAAAATGACACTGACTCTTCCTCTTAAGTTAGTGATGGCATTGATAAGCGGTCAGTGAACCGTTCTAATGATTTTTAGTGCCCTTTGCTCACCTCCCCCCTCTGACCTCCTCCAAACACTTAGAAGAAAGGTACTGTACCATTTATCGTTTCTTGTGTTCCAGGCACTTACCTAGTTTCAACCTTCAAATCAGTCTTAAAGGAGTAGGTGGTATCCTCAGCGGAGTGTCTCTGGAAGCCACCGGCCCCAGGCCACATAGCCCGTCAGAGGGACGGGTACACCCAGATGTGCTTTACCAAAGTGCAGGCTTTCTTAACTAGTTCATTATAGCCGGCCTGGTGGGCTGGGGTGGGCACGAGGGGAGCGGAGGGGGATGAGAGGGGGAGGAGGCCAAAGGAAGCCTCGGATGGAATCATTAGTCCCTTAGAGAGGCCAAAGCAGAGCGAGTCCCAGTCTGAGAAAACCAGCAGAAGATCGAAGTCCTCTCTTCCTGCCTCTGCCACGGTCAGCTGGACATTTCTGGATGTGTGGCTTGGGAGGGCAGTGAGTTGGTTTCTTCCTTTACCCCCCTGCTCACTGGAACGCTTCTGACTCTGTGCCTTGCCAGGCAGCCCCCCTCCCTGTTCTTTTTGAGACGACAGAGGATGGCTGCACATGGAGCCATGGCTTCATTTAAGATGTCTTTGGGGGCTTCCCTGGTGGCGCAGTGGTTGAGAGTTCACCTGCCGATGCAGGGGACACGGGTTCGTGCCCCGGTCTGGGAAGATCCCACATGCCGCGGAGCGGCTGGGCCCGTGAGCCATGGCCGCTGGGCCTGCGCGTCCAGAGCCTGTGCTCCGCAATGGGAGAGACCACAACAGTGAGAGGCCCGCGTACCGCGCAAAAAAAAAAAAAAAAAAAGATGTCTTTGGCCCTTCACTGGAAGAGATCCCTCGAGGATCCCTCCAGAACATACCAAGTGTTGGAGGAGGTTAAAGGGAGATAGAAAGCAGCCCCGAGCACTCCTAGGGAAGCGTGGGTCTCCCAAGCCCCTGTGTGTCCCAGGACGTGCTGTCTGGCTCATGGAGCCTTGGTTTGCTTCTTTTTAAAGCTAGCGCAAATAGTACCTGCCTCATGTACCTCCAGACAGTTACAGGATTAATGGAAAGACACAAAAACATGTGAAGCACTTAACAGATTCATGTCTAAATAGGTAGGAAACACAGTAGAAGGCTTAGACTGCTTGAGATTGGGGACCACAGATATGTGAGGAGCTGAGGGGATGCGGCTGCATTGGGTGTGAGCACAGTGGCTGGGCCCTAGCAGAAGGGCCTGTCAGAGGATCGAGCTAACGCTGCCCCCGAAAACTTAGAAGCAGGAGCTCTATGTCGAGCATACCCTGCATGGCTGACCTTTCCTCAGGGTGTCTCTCAAAAGGCTGTGCAGGCAGTGACCCACTTACTCAGGCGTGGGCTTCTGGGGTGATCCCCAGAGTGTACATGTATGGAGACGGCCTTCCACCTGCTCAAGGCCATTTATGAGCCAATGAGAACTCAGCAGGACCAGGATGGGCCTGCGGCCACCCTGTGGTAGCCCTCGGATACTATTTCAACCCGCGCAGGTGTCCCAGCTGGCGTTCCCAAGCCCACCCCCCCAAGGTTTGCTGTACCAGCAGATCTCCGCTAGCTTGTGACTGCTTGATTCATAGCTTTTCATGTGTGTCTGAACCTAACAGACCCTGAGATTAGAAAAGCTCACTATAGGAGAGGAGTTGCCCTGAGCAACAGTTCTGGCAAATACAACCTCCTTCCCCTTTAAGATGTCAACCAAATTCTTAGGTATTCAGTAAATGACAGCATACTTCTTCCTACCTTCAAAACCAAAATTTATTAATTCCCCTTACACTGTACATAGAGTGCATTTGCCAGGGTTTTTTTTTTTTTTTTCTAGCATCGCCACTTCACACTGCCACAGCAGGACACAAGGTATCGAAAATGAAATGTAGCTCTGTCCATTATTCATTCATTCTCTAAATTCAGAAACTGAATATGAAGCCACAGTGGCATTATACTCACTACCGAGGCCCCGTACTTACCGAACTCCTTGTCATTGACTTTGGGGGAAGGGCTGCCATGATGTGGGCTGCAGAGAAGGGTTTCATATACTTTTATATCCCTCCTCAAGAGGACCCACACCTGTCCCAGTTGCTGAGTCCCACCACCAAATGTGAATGGTAGCTATTTTGGGAACACTTCAGCACATCAGAAAAATGAGTGGTTCCGTTCTGGCTCACACCGCATCACTGATGTACCCCTTAAAGCATGTCATTGAGTTCATCACAGAAAATTGTTTCTCCTTGTGCCTTCCACAGCAAGGTTAGAACTCATCCGGGAGCAGAGGTGGGGGGGAGTGAGAAGCGCCAACTGGGTAACCTCCTCTGACCCCCACTCCACCTTACCATAAGTAGATGGATCCAAATCCTTCTAGAAAATTAGAAAGGCATATCCCCATATATCAGCGGTATAAATAGAAGCGCTTCAGCAGGCTCTGGTGGACCGGTGACTCTACAAGGTGGATTGGGAAGCGGCCGGCCTTGGCTGGGCATCACCCTCTAAATATAACGATGAGTTTGTTCAGCCTTTGCAGCAGGAAAACGTTTTGCCCATCCTAGAGCGCGACGCCCTTGTCCTCTTTACCGAGAGGAGGGACGGGCGCGGCTTCATCTAGTAAGAACACCTCACCGTTCCCACCTCCATGTCGTGGGCTGTGACCTTTGCCTTTCGGCCCCAGGAGCGGGGCCCTCAGTGAGCTCCGCCAAGGATGCGGGGTGGTAGGGCGCTCCGCGCGGCCCGCCGCACCCTGGAGCGCGCCAGTCACGCCCTGAAATTCACTGCCTTCACAAGCCCCCGAGCGCTCCGCGCGTCCCCGAGGCGGGCAGGTCCACGGGCCCTGGCTTTGCGCCCGGCGCTGCCACAGCCCGCCCGCGCCTCCTCCCCGGCGCTCCGCCCGCGCCTCCCGCCGCTAGCTGTCTGCCCCACGACAGCTGCGCGCCCGCCCGCCGCTGGTGACCCTCTCCGGTAGGGGTGGGGGCCGACGGGTCAGCCCTCTGGATTCGGGGAGCTCGGGGTGGGGGGAGAGACCAGGTTCGCTGGGGAGCTGGCGGGAGGGATCGCCTGCCTCCCCTGCCCGGGACGCGGGTGTGAATGCTCCCCCGGTCCTCTCGGGCCCACCACTTGAACACTGCTCCCTCCTCCCTGGAGCCGCACTTGAGGTTCTGGGGTCTGAGCAAAGAACCCGAAGAAGGGGCGAAATGTGGGGCGCACCTCCCCGAGGCCCAGTGCGCGCCCAGCGGCCGGGGTCGGGGCAGGACGGCGGCGGCGGGCAGGTGCAGCCCGGGGCGCAGGCGCACTGGCGCACGCCGCGCACGAGGTGACCCTCGCCGCACCCCAGGCCCTCCGCCGGGCAGCTGCACGGGGTCGGGAGGGGCCGACCAGCGGGGAGACGCTCCATATACGGCCCGGCCCGCGTTACCTGGGCTCGGGCCAGGCCGCTCCTTCTTTGGTCAGCGCGGGGGACCCGGGCGGGGACCCAGGCCGCGAACCGGCCGGGGGAGGGGGCTCTAGTGCCCGACACCCAAATATGGCTCGAGAAGGGAAGCGACATTCCTGCGGGGCGGCGCGGGGGGAGCGCCCAAGGGCTATATAAAACCTGAGCTGGGAGACAAGCGGCCACCGCAGCGCCCCAGCCGGAGAGCAGCAGGTGTAGCCGCCCGCCGAGGTAGGCGGGGTCGGGGTGGGGACAGGGGGACGGGGCACCACCGAAGGGAGTCCGGAGAACTCCAGGTAGGGCCCGGCCGACTCACTATATCAGTCCTAGCCCTGCGTCCTCAGTGCTGCGCCTCCGACCCCAGAGCCACGTGCGCTTTAAAGAAGAGACAGGAAACCTTCGTCCTTTGGAAACTTCTCCAAATTTATGCCCAGCCCCTTCGGGCTGCTCTCCTTGACACTTTGTTTGTGCCCAAGTAGATGAAAGGTTTTGCTCTAGTCGTCCCCAGGGCAGTTCCGTCCCAACCGAACCAAAGGACAGCAAGGGCCACTACTCCCCGGGTTCGCCGTCAAGCCCAAGGGCGCCTCGGTTGTGAGTCTGGTGTGTCGTGGGGGTCCGGAATAGGCCATTCGTCCCCGGGTGGAGCGCCCAAGCCCTTCCCACAGCGTCTCCTTTCACCCTCACAGTCGCCCAGCGGGCAGGGTTCGCGGACCTTGACCCCCTAGGTTAGACCCCGGAGGTGTGGAGAGGGCGGTGCCTGCAGCCAAGGAAGAGAGCCCTCGGGGACAGTGTGTCCTGGGTTCCTGGATGGAGAAAAGCTCCGTGTGGTCTCCCCCCAGCGCAGGGCCCGTTAGCGAAGCTCGGCCCGGATGGCATTAATTGCTTCCCCTTCGGGACCGCGCCGGGCTGGGGGCTGGGGGTGTCCATAGGCCCCGGGGGAGGGAGGGCGTTCGGGATGGCGGGGCCTTCCGCCTGACACGCCGAGCGTCTCCACGGCCTTCCCGACCTTGCAGAAACCAGACACCATGTGTGACGAAGACGAGACCACCGCCCTCGTGTGCGACAATGGCTCCGGCCTGGTGAAAGCCGGCTTCGCCGGCGACGACGCCCCTAGGGCCGTGTTCCCGTCCATCGTGGGCCGCCCTCGCCACCAGGTCAGGCTGCCAGTTCGCGGAGGGAGCCGGGCCGGGTCCCCGCTCAGCCCAGCCCCGCGCCACCCGGAGCCGCGGTAACGAGCTCGTGGTGTCTCCGCTCCGCAGGGCGTCATGGTGGGCATGGGGCAGAAAGACTCCTACGTGGGCGACGAGGCGCAGAGCAAGAGGGGTATCCTGACCCTCAAGTACCCCATCGAGCACGGCATCATCACCAACTGGGACGACATGGAGAAGATCTGGCACCACACCTTCTACAATGAGCTCCGCGTGGCCCCCGAGGAGCACCCCACCCTGCTCACCGAGGCCCCCCTCAACCCCAAGGCCAACCGCGAGAAGATGACCCAGATCATGTTTGAGACCTTCAACGTGCCGGCCATGTACGTGGCCATCCAGGCCGTGTTGTCCCTCTACGCCTCCGGCCGTACCACCGGTGAGTGCCCGGGAGCCG